CATTTTCATCAGAGCGCCGTGGAGGTGACCAAACACGGCGCACAGGCTCCTCGGCCGCACTGCGGGCAACAAAGAGAGAGGGAGGGAGGGCGGTGCTCAGAGAAACGACAGTTCATATGAAACGGGTGTGTGCTTCACGGTGTGATGTCAGTGGCAGCGAAAAAGTGCATTTTCATCAGAGCGCCGTGGAGGTGACCATTGTTTTGTGTTCCTTCGCGGTTCTATTGCCCGTGGCATTAACAAATTAATGGAATAAAATCAACATATTTGAATTTCATGTGGAAATCACCGCAGGCACAAACAAGTTCCAGGAAGTGAAAAAAGTAGGATGGGAAATAACTGTCCCTCACAAGCGTCTGTGTTCCTCAGGGTGTCCATTTCATTGCTGAGACTTCGGTTCTGGCGGGGCGGGGTTCGCACTATTTTCGCGATGCAGCCGGAGTGCGTGCGCACGGCCGTACTCCGAAATCACCTCGGACTTTCCGCAGTACGACACCTGCAGCGGCTTCTCGCGCTCCATGTTATAGCGGTTGTGAAGAGCCATGATCGCACAGTCTGCCTCCACCGTCGAACCGAACTCCACAAATGCACTGCCCTTGCTACGACTGGTCGCTCTATCGCGGAGTATATTTACGTGAAGCACTTGCCCGTAGAAGTCGAAAAGGGCGCAGACGTCCTCTTCAGTTGCCTCAAAGTTCAGCTGCCCCACAAACAGACGCGCCCTTCCCACCACCATTGGTACTATAAAAAACCACACTAGTGGTCTTTTTCCTGCTCCGTGTCAACTCACCTTGTGGCAAACGCCGCTTGGTATGTCTCAAAAAAAAAAAAAGGAACTTAAAAAAGGAGAAGACGAGCATTTCGACCTAATACAGAAAGTAAAAACAAAAAGTTTCACCATAAGTCCGCACATAAGCTACCCGAGCTAACGCAGCGCACAGGCTCCTCGGCCGCACTGCGGGCAACAAAGAGAGAGGGAGGGAGGGCGGTGCTCAGAGAAACGACAGTTCATATGAAACGGGTGTGTGCTTCACGGTGTGATGTCAGTGGCAGCGAAAAAGTGCATTTTCATCAGAGCGCCGTGGAGGTGAACAAACACGGCGCACAGGCTCCTCGGCCG